GTCCCCCTGGTTCCATGGAGACAGTGAGAGCAGATCTCTGAACCAGTTTTTCTTGGAAATTGTTTTTTTTTTTTTTTTTTTTTTAGGCAAGGGGATGGGGAAAGAAACCTTAAAGAAAACATCCAACCACAAGCCCGCGAAATCTCTGCCCCAAATCAGTCATCCTTTTTAATAATGAGGGCTGTCATGAGCCTTGGTTTAGTCGGAAATGATGGCCTGTGTAAATATTTGGTCTGTAACTGATTTATGGGTCGAGGAACAAAAAAAATAAGATTAGTCGCTAATCACAGGGAGGCAGGAAGATCAGCGGGCCTGGATGCCAGGACAGAGCAGGCCTGGGAGGCAGAGCCCCAGCTGTCTGGGTGAGCTCAGAGAGGTGGGGAAGGCTGGGCCGGCCGACCGTGGTGTTTGCCTGGAGAGGGGGCCATGGATTCTGGATTATTCCATGGGGCAGAGGCAACATTGTCCATGTCCAAGTCAAGAACTGGCCAAGACCAGCCTTCTGGCAAGATGCCCGGGCTGTGAGTGAAAGATTGGTTCTCCCCAGCTAATCCTGAAACTGATGGCCTAGACAGCTCTGGGTCTGGGCAAGCACAGCTGTAAAATGGGCGTGTATGTGATGAGCCACTTCTCCAGTGCATGAATTTTTATTCACCAGGCCTCTCTCTCTCTCTCTCTCTACACACACACACACACACACACACACACACACACACACACATACACTCACACACACACACACTCTAGAGGCCCCCTCCTCCAGTGTGTGAATTTTTATTCACCAGGCTCCCTCCTCCCCCTCTCTCTCTCTCTCTCCCTCCCTCCCTCCCTCCCTCCCTCCCTCCCCCTCTCTCTCTCTCTCTCCCTCTCTCTCTCTCTCTCTCTCTCTCTCTCTCTCTCTCTATATATATATATATATATATATATATATACGTGTACATACACATATATATGAAAATTTTTATATACTCTATATATATATATATATATATATATATATATATATATATATATATATATATAGAAAGTATATATGTAACTAGAGGCCCGGTGCATAAAAATTCATGCACTGGAGCGGGGATCCCTCAGCCCGGCCTGCCTCTCTCACAGTCCAGGAACCCACAGGGGTGGGAGGCATCCTGGCAATAAGGGGAAGGCCACTTATGGCCCTGGTTACCTGAGCCTTGGGTGGCCCTGGGAGGCTGGCTGGGTAGCCAGCATCTGAGGCTTGCCTGCACCTCAGGCATTGGACATATCCTCCCTGTGTTAGACTTACCAGGCCCTTGGTTTTTTTCTTTTTCTTTAAATATATATTTTTATTGATTTCAGAGAGAAAGGGAGAGAGAGAGATAGACACATCAATGATGAGAGAGAATCATTGTTCGGCTGCCTCTTGTACTCCTCCCACTGAGCATTAAGCCCACAACCCAGGCATGTATCCTGACCGAGAATCAAGCCAGGACCTCCTGGTTCATAGGTCATTGCTCAGCCACTGAGCCACACCAGCCAGGCAGGCCCCTGTTTTTTTAAGCCTCCCACTTGTCTGGAACCTGAGCACCTGAATTGAAGGTCCATGCCCCTCCCTTCTCACCCAAGAGCTGGTGCTATTCTTTGGTTTCGAAGAGGGCCTCTCCCGGAGGCCTCCTGGTAGGTCATCAGACCAGGTCAACTGCAAAGGACCTAAAGGGCGGATAGAGAGGCTGGACAGCTCACTGAGCCACGTGGAAGACCAGCAGGCATTTGTTCCAGTTTTGGGAAATGGTTGTGTCCCAATAAACGGATTAGCGCGTAGTGCTGCACAGGGTGGTGTGGGAGAATGTGAGCTCACGCCTGTCCTCCCACCATGCCTGCAAGGACCTTGCCTGTTCCCAACCCTGTCATTTCCTCTCAACTGGCCAGGCCAGACACTCCAGACATTGCTAATGAAATGCTGAGGGATTTGGCCGGGTTATGGCTCTTGAGTTCAAGAAGACACAACCCCACACTCAAGGAAGCTGAGGGTGAAGAGGCCATGTGAGCTGGTGGCTCTCCTTAACCCGCAGCCCAACAGACCCTTGGAGCAGGAAATGGGGCAGCGACGAAACACCAGATGGGGAGGTCCCTTGGTGTTCTTTGTGGTGAGAGCGCTGAGAGGCAGCTGGCTAATGTGTGCTGAGCTAGAGCCTTCTGTGTGCAGAGCCAGCCAGAGACCTAGGCAGGGGGTGGCCAGGGGCTAGAAAAAGAAAAATAAGCTGTGTCTGTCCTCCAGGATCCTATGCTTCCTTCCTGCCTTCCTCCCATCCTCTCCGTCCTTTATTCATTTACTCTTTCCATTTTCATCCTTCCTTCCATGTTCTCTTTCTCCCTCCCTCCCTTCTGCCCTCCCTCCTTCCATCCCTCCTCCCTTCCTCCCTTCCATCCTTCCATCCATCCACCCATCTATCCATTCTTACCTCCACCCCTCCTTCTATTCATCCATCTACCCACCCACCTACCCATCTATTTATTCATCTTTTTAATCCATCCATCTGTCTGACTATCATTTGTTTATATACACCCCTTCTCTGCCCCATCTGTTTAAGGCAATTGGACTCTCATTAAGCTACTGTTAAACTTGTGCTGGATTAGACTTGGTTCTCCTTGTACAACAAGCATGTCAGACTTGTGGTCCTCAGGCCACATGCCTCGTCTATTTGGCCCATGTTAGCCTTTGAGTTTGACATGCTTGTTGTAGAAGGATGTGGCCTCGTCACTTGGTGGCCCTCAAGGTTCCCGCCAATGGTTTGGGGAGGACAACAGTACCTCTGGCTAAAGGGTTTGACTGTGCCCTTTTCACTTGCCAGGGGGAGTGAGTTGAGAGTTGGTAGATGTTTTAGGTGAATAACACAGCCTGGCTTCAATGTCTGGCTTCTGTGAGGTTCTTCCCATGCTACACAGACACCGAATTTAACCTGGTCATAGTGACGTTAACAACGGTTGACCTGCCGAAACCGGTTTGGCTCAATGGATAGAGCGTCGGCTTGGGGACTGAAAGGTCCCGAGTTCGATTCCGGTCAAGGGCATGTACCTTGGTTGTGGGCACATCCCCAGTAGGGGGTGTGCAGGAGGCAGCTGATCGATGACTCTCTCTCATCGATGTTTCTAACTCTCTAATGTTTCTAACTCTCTATCTGTCTCCCTTCCTCTCTGTACAAAATCAATAAAATATATTAAAAAAAACAAAAAACAAAAACAACGGGTGACCTGAATCCTTGTTCTGTGGTGGGCCTTGTGCCAGGCGCACGATCGCGTAGAATTGTCATGACATCCTCCATAGTTAGGCACTGTTATTTTTCTCACTGTCCAGTTGAGGAAACTGAGGCACAGAGGTGAGAGCACTCTTTTGGGGTTACAGTCAGGTCTCCCTGACCCCAGGGCCTGAGAGTTTCACTCTTAAAATGACACCGCTCTTTGGATCTGTACCACTGGACACTCATGTGAAATGAATGCCACCCCTTCCCTGCTTCCTTCTCTTCTCTGCCTTGGGCAGGGAGAGCCACCAACAGGTGCTGCTGCAGTGGGAGGCACGTCCTGGGCCTGGTCACAGGCTCTGGGAAGATGACATGCAGGGCTGACCGCAGGCCCTGGAAGGGGGCCACTCTGCGGGCACCCCTGAGCTCCTTACAGCAGAGGAGCAGCAGGCTGCCTGGGCAGGGCTGCTCACCTGGGAGCCCTCCAGTCCTATATGAACACACCTTCCTGGGCGCTCCACCCAGAACTTGGAAATTTGCAAGGAGGGTTCACTTTGGCCACAAGAGGGCACCCAACTCCTGGCCAGACCTGAATGGGGTGCTGTGGAGAGGGGGGGAGAAGAGCAGGGAGGTTAGCTTTGGATGCCATTTTAAACCAAACGCTCATAAACTGATCATCTAAGCTCTTTGGAAGTGGGGATGTGTTACCAAACCAGCTGGGGAGGTTCATTCTATTCAGTGGGTGCCAAGCAAGTATCTGAGAGATCCAACAACGAAAACCACAGCTTCCTGACCTCAAGGAGCCCGCAATTGAGTGTGGAAGACAGTATTAGAATGCAATGTTGTAAGTGCCAGAGTCTTAATCCAGATCAATCACTGAGTAAGCATTCAGTGAGCACCTACTGTGTGTGGGGTTTGTGCCATCCTTGCCAAGGACAGAGAAATGAACAATACATCCTTGCCCTCAGAGACTCACAGTCCACTTGGATGATAAAAACTGAAAGAGCAAATTTGGAAAATAGGAAAGTACAGCCACAGAAATATATAGACTGTTTTAGGAGGATTGAGGATGAACAGCCAACTCAAGCGGAGGACACTTAGCCCTGCTGGGGCATTGGGGTGTCAGGGATGGCTTCCTGAGGGGAGGACCCCAGAGACAAGTCATAAAGGACCAGTGGGCATAGGGACCACATCTTTATCCATGTGCACAAGGGAACGCTACTCAGCCATAAGAAAGGATGAAACAGTGCCATTTGCACCACATGGATGGACTTTGAGAGCATTATGCTAAGTGAAATAAGTCAGAAAAAGCTAAGAACCATATGATTTTACTCATATGTGGGATATAAAACCGAATCTTAAGAACACAAACAGCAGTGTGGTGGTAGCCAGAGGGAAGGGGTTGGGGGGAGAAGGGGGTCCTAATATAAGGTGACAGGAGATTTGACTTTGGATGGTGGGTACACGGTGCAACATATAGATCTTATAACATAGAAACCCACACATGAAACCTGTATGTTCATGTTGACCAATGTCACCCCAATGGACTTAATAAATAAAAATTAAAAAAAAAAAAGGCAGGTGGGGATTAACCAGGCAAAGAAGAGGATGGCATTCCTGGCATTGGGGACAGAATAAGCAAAGGGTAGGAGGTGAGAAACGGGGTGGGGGGGCCACAGGGCCCAGTAAAGGGGGGAGTGGGTATTGGGCACCATGCTAAGGAGATTGGCACTCCCTGCTCTCATCTTGTGTGTGTATGCATCCACTTCCCTCTCTCTGTCTCCCTTCCAGAGCCAAGAAGAAAAGCAAGCCCTTGAACCTCAAGATCCACACCAGCGTGGGCAGCTGTGAGAACATCCCAGCTCAGCAGCGCTCCCCTCTCCTCTGCGAGCGCTCCCTCCGCTCCTTCTTCGTGGGACAAGGGCCCTTCCTGCCCTCTACCCCTCCGGTCCACAGCGAGGCCAACTTTTCCGCAAGTAAGTCACCGCACCGGGCTGTGCCTCTGCCAGGTGCACGCTCGCCCCGTGTTCCTTTTCTTCGGTGAAAACGCTCTTGAAATGTTCGCCAAATATGCCTCGTTTGCGTCTGCCTGCCACCTCCCACCTGCGCCACACACCGCCTCTTTGAATGGATGCTGGGGAAAGGGTGTCATCAGCGCTCCAGGCCGACTGGCTGTTGCCATTGGCCCTGCAGGTGTGTAGGGATAACAGAGGGTATTCAAGGATGGAAATGTTAGCTTTTTCTCTCTCCTGTTTCTCAGCTGCCGGTCCCGGCCTTTTTCTTTCTGTTGTGGATAAGGCTGCTGTGATTATATTTTGTTATTTCACCCCTCCCACACGCAGGTCAGCACAGTATAACCTTTACATCTCCAAGATGTATTTGAGTTCACACTGGGCTGAGCATGGCCCAAGGTGGTTTACATTCTGCTCCTGTGGATTCTGCTGCAGATAAAGTTGTTATTACTCAGAGCGGAAATGGAACTTTCTGGCGATCAGGGCAGAGGTCTTAGAAGGCACTTAATCTCCTTATAGAGGCCCGTTTTGCAGAACAGGCTCAGCCGTTTTCAGAGGCGAGCCCCTGAGAAAAGCCCAACTAGTCTTCTGGCCAAGACAAAATCTTTCTGTTGTTGTTGCTAACCCTAACCTGAGGATATTTTCCCCACGATTTTCAGAGAGAGTGTAAGGGAGGGAGGTGGTGGAGAGAACGAAGAAGAGGGAGAGGGAGGGAGAGAGAAACACACTGACTGGTTGCCTCCCACACGCACCCCACTGGTGGCCTGGGAGCGAACCTGCAACTCAGGTATAATACATGTCCCTGGCTGGAATTGGACAAGCGATCCTTTGGTGTGCAGGCTGGCGTTCTAACCACTGTGACACCATCCAGGGCCAAGACAAGATCTCTTATTTCCTGGGAACTCAGGAGGGGTGAGGCCAAGCTTAGGAGGAGTGAGGTCGAACTCAGGTTGCAGCCTACTGGTGTTGAGCCTGCATCCCCTCTGAGCGGGAGGCTCAAGCCGACATCGTCAGGGGAAGTTCCAGAGCCTGGCTTGTTTAGGCCCAGGGGGTGCAGGCCCTGAACAAAGCAAACCAAAATAGCACTCGGGCCCACGTCATCACCAGAAAGCCAATTACCAATTAGTCAGCAGGGATCGTGTCAGAGACCAGACCTGCTCCGTGACAGTGGGCTGCATGGCAGGCATGTGGCCGCCGGAGGGTGGCTCGGTGAGCCCGGATGAGGAAAAGACGTGATGACAGCAGATGAGTGACAACAGTGAGGGGCGGCAGGACGTCCTAGTTCTGGAGGAAAGTGCCTGGGTTCCAGTCCCACCTTGGTTACTTTTGAGCCCTGTGCCTGACCTTGAGCAAGTTGAAGGGCCTCTTGAGATTCAGTCTCCTTGTCTGTAAAATGGGGGTCACAATAGTCATCTCACAGATGCTTGTGAGGATTAAATAAGCTCGTGTGTGTCGAGCTGTCTGCATAGTAAGTGCTTCATAGTTGGCAGCTGTTAGGATACGCATTCGCCTCTTTTCTCTAGCCCCACCTTGGAGGGGTTGGTCACAGCTCTGTTCTTTAGTTCTGGCCAGAGCAGAAACACCTATGGCTTATTTAAAACCAAACCAAACCATGGACTTGCACATTTAGATCCCTCCTCCTGCCAAAGAGAGTATTATAGATGAGAGCATGGGAGCCTCCCTGGGGGACTGAGTGTGTAACCAGATAGTAGCTGGACCCTGTGGACAGCCCCTGACAAATAACAGAATGAGGCAGTGTGGTGGCACAGGCTCCACACGGGACGTGGGAATCTCTCTCAGAGTCTCTGTGGTGCCACCAATGCCTGTGTGGCCTTGTCCCTGCCTTGCCACCGTTAAGGCTGACCACACTCTGAGGCAGGCATTGTTATTCCCATTTTACAGATAAGGAAACTGAGGCTCAGAAGGTGAATGGTGTTGCCTGTGTGGTAGGTTTTGAACCCAGGCCCAATTCTAGCCTGCTCAGATTCCATCTCTTTCCTGCGGTGAGATCCTGTCTCTGCCTCCCAGGGCCTCAGTTTCCCTAACTGGATGATAAAAGACTCCATGAGGGTCTATTTCAAAGCTGCTCCTGGGCACCTCCTAACTCACTTAGAAAGCTGGTATGGAGACTCTGGGCTGGGCTGTTAGGAGAACACAGCTGCCGGGCGCTGGTTCCTCCTGCTTGTAATCGTACCATGCTCCAACCGCCCTCCCCACCCACCGGCCCCCACACACTGTGCCAGGCAATAGAGCCGCTGGGGCGATGTCCCTGCCAGGCCGAGTCTGCCTACCCGTTTGCCATTGTCAGCTCTGGCTGCGGCCTCAGTGTGAGGGGAGGCGACATGCCATCTTATTCCCCCTGGCCCTAATGCTGGGAGACAGCGTTAGGCCGAAGAGTGGCCGGGCCTCCGGCCCTCAGGGTGCCGAGCCACCCCGATGGGCTGTAAGGACTTCACCTCTTTGGGGCTTGTCCTACTTCCCTGGGCTGATCAGCTGGAGAGGGAGGGAGTGGCAGGAGCCCCAAGTATGGAGGGATCTGCCTCCAAGGCAGCCATGAGACACAAGAGATGGGCTTCCACTGTGTGCTGTGCAAGGTGCTGACTCAGGAGGGAATGGCTCCCCAGAGAAGCAGAGCGCGGTGGACGTGGCTCCCTGTCTTCATTGCATTTCCTTGGCGTTGCCTTCTTGCCTACCATGCTGCCTTAGGACCATCTGATCAGATGCCCTCCGCGTTTCTGGTCCGATAAGCTGTTTGCCAGTGACTCCTTGACGGGTCTCTCTGATGCCAGCTGCCTCGTCAGGCAGCCTCTGTGACCCCTGTAAAGAGGCTTCTTCAGAATGAAAAAAAAAAAAAAAAAAGCCTCCTGGGTGGAAGGGACGGCTCCACTCATTGCCAGCTGGTAGAAGCGTTTCTGCTTGATGGCAGCTCAGTGGTTGCTGAGGTGTCACTGGGCAAGTCACGGATCCCCTGAGCCCGCCCCTGCCTGCAGGGACAGAATGAGGAATGCATGTAAGTTTTCCAGCACAGGGCTGAGGCTTCCAACACCAAGTTTCAGTAAAGGGTGGCGTTGGGAGCGATTGCTGGATGTTGTACACTGGGACTGTGGTGGCAACGGTGATAGCAATAGCCACTGGCATTTATTGTGTGTTGACAAGGTTCTAGGCACCACCACGTTGGCTAAAGCAATTTACACCTATTATTTCACTTAAGCTTCCCACTCCTCCATAAGGTAGGTGCTCTGAGTACCCCCATTTTACAGACAAGGAAACGGGCTGAGTTTTCGGAACTGACCCAAGGTCACCAAGTCGGGAAGGAGGTGGAGTTTGCACTCATTCCGAACCCGCCACCCTGCCATCCCCCGCGGAGTGGGATTGCAAAGCTGCCCTCACCAAGCCTGCTTGTCTTCAAGAGGGTCCTTGTCCAGGTTGTCTCACTTCCCAGCTGGGAGAACGGCCTGGCCTCGAGGCTGCCTCCGAGAGAGCCGCGCCTGTACTGGCTCACCAGTGGGTACCGCCCAGGACTCAGTGTTGATGTTCAGAGCATCCATGGTCGCAGGTGGTGGCCATCCCTGGGGGCGGAGGTGGGGGACAGGCAGCTGCAAGAATTCAGCTCCAGCTTCTGCAGCTCATCCGTCCTGGGGATGAAGAATGACAGGGTACTTTCCCCCCCGCGGTTTTCTGTGTGCTGCTTTATGAGCTGCCTGTGGGGGTCCAGCACTCAGGGCAGCAGCCACCGGAGGGAACAAGTGACTGATGGTCCCTGGACGTCCCTGTCTTGGTCCTAATGACACCAGCTGGCGTTCTGTCCGAGGCCCTGTCTCATGAAATACTGCCCTTCGGGAGGTGTCTTAGGCGGCATGCCTCCCCTCCCTGCATCTTACTCTGCCCTCTCCCCATCTCTTCTCCAAGCAGCTCCTGTTCTTTGTCCTGGAAACCAGGCAACAGACGGCTGTCCTTCTGCCTGGCCTGGCGTGCCTGGGGCTGAGGCGGGTGCCTGATTTGGGGGAGGAGGCAGCAGCAGGTAGCAATAAAGGCCGATGAAGCCGAACTGCCTACTCCCAAGAAACCAGCCACCGGAAGGGTTATAAAGAGACGCGGTATGGGGGTGATTATATAATGGGGTTTAATGAGCCTTGAGGCCAAGGTTCGTTACCCGCTGGAAGAGGGGGAGGAGGAGCCTGTCTTGACCAAAGTTTGCTGCCTGAAAACCACGTTCTCGCCTCAGAATCAGGAGAGAGGTCAAGAAGATTGTGTCTGACCTGACTCAGTGGCGGCAATTCCAAACAGAAGCATAGGAGTAACCCAGAGAACTTTTCTCCCCAAGAATGCTGCTCCCCGCTTTCCCACCCTCGCCCCCAGCAAACGCAGGAAGCATCTGTGTTGCCTCTCATTGGCACTGCGATTTGGAAACCCAGGTCCCAGCAGGTCCCTGACATGCACTGACTGTCCGCTACTTGCCAGGCAGGTGCTCATCGAGGTGCTCCGTAGGCATCAGTATGCAAACAGAAGCAAACAGAATGATACAGAACGGTTCATAATGAAAACTGCGGTCCCTCGCGCATCTCTCTCCCAGTCCTGCTTTTACAAAGCGCTTTCTGTGTCTAGTTCTCTTGGTGGTCACTTCCACAGTTTAAACCGGGTTGGACCAGGGCTTCACAAAGTGTGTCCTGGACCAACAGCATCACCTTTGAGAGCTTGCTAGACTCACATACCTGCCTTCTTCCATCCAGACCTACTGAATCAGAAGCTCGGGGAGAGCCCAGCGCCGGGATTTCACCAGCCCTTCAGGGGATTCTGAGGCGAACGTTTGAGAATCACTCAATTCTATGATGATCTTTAGTTTTAGTTTTCTATTTTGCAATATTTCAAATTTACAGAAAAGTTGCAAGAAAACACAAAGGGCTCCTGTACCCCCTTTACTCAGACTCGTCTGTTTTTAACATTGCCATACATTTGCTTTCTCT